AGTGTTTAGGTCAGGTATCTAGAACTGCTTCAGCACAATTTCAAAAGAACTTTAAGTGACATGGATGCAACATATTTGAATGCTTTTCAATAATTTGTCTCAATTAAATCACAGCAACACTAGTTAGACTTATTATTAGTCAAACAAGGGTTCAGCTAGGAACCAGCCCTATGCTAACTTCTAACACTATATTTTGATGGTCCATGTAGACACTTTGTAGATCGTAAACTAACTAACATTCAAGATATCTATTAAATGCAACTGAACATTAGGCTGAAATTAACAGATTTATTACTATCTAAATCAAACCTTAACTTCATCCTAAAGCTTAACCCTAACATCCCTAAGGCTGGAGATGGCACAACACCCCAAAACAAACAACAAAAAATAAAGCATCAGTATATACTAGGGATATAAACTCAGGTGCTTGGTTAACCACTGAAGGTGCTAGCATTTAAATACTGAAATCACTATTTGGCTGTTCGTTACATTTCATCACAAGAAGACAGACCAACAATTCAGTGAAAGGCTAGTTTTTTATGTCTTAACAGGACTGCATGTGGCACATTTACTCTCATTTGCAAGGAAATACGTATATTATAATCACTAAACTTGTTGCTCCGAATCAAAAGGGCCTTAATATGAGTGTTTTGCGATGAACGCACTGTAAAGGAAGTAACTGACAAGCCAGAGATAGTGCAGCCTTATAGCTAACGTGGCCAAATAAGTTACTCTAGCTGATGTTAGAAAGGTCCAAAAAATGATTATTTATCTGACAAACTGACATGTGGACACACTAACCACTGTGGATAAAAGAAGAAAAGAAAACAAGTCCTCATCAGCATCCAGTGTTGTATTGGTTAGCTGTGTTTGCTGAGAGGGCGTCTGTTAGTCATCTGACACGAAAAAATTAGCTGGAATGCCCATCCCTAGTCCATGCATATACAATTTTGCAGCATATGCCATTTTTTCACTGCACAAAGTACAGGAACCTTTGACACAGAAAGTTGGAATGCAGTTTTTTCTATTGACGAGTGGTCCAGTACTGAATGTTCCAGTTTTATGGTTTTTAGCCGCATAAGTCTGGCAACAGGACCTAATGATACGCAAGAACATTTTTACTCTGTCTGTGTCAATGACAATTAAGAGAACTCTTTGTTCTTCCAGGTGAAGACAGTCACCTAGAACGATTACAAGACCAATAAACACCAAAGCTAGAATGTTCTATGTTGGCAGGTATTTTTAGAATTACTTTGTAAAGAGGGCATGCGATAGCTAGTTTCCACTGAACAAGTGCTTTTGCTCATATTTTCACAACTGACAGAGAATAAAAAATAATATGACTCTACAGATGATTATGTGCAACTGTAGACATTTGTGTGATGCAGAAAAGCTACAGTATATTATTTCAGGTCATTACAGTTTGAGTCCGTTCTTGTGCTTGAATGTGCAATGTAAAAACGCCCTTCAAAAACTGCTAAGCTTTAAATGAGCAATTTGTGAATGACACATTTTTTAAGATAAGCATCTAAAAGAAGGCTATCATGGTCAAACTATTCAAATGCTCTCCTACCCCACAGGAACAAACACACAGCTAACAACATCACATCACACAAGTGTGCAGTATTTCAGGCTAGATTTGTTACAGGACTGGATCGGATCAAATTTAGATGTGTTCGTTTACCTCACACAGTGTGAGCTTTGGGTTTAAAAAAAGACTAATAAAAAGTGGCCAAAAAGATCAGCCACAAGCCAATTTGGCTTTGAAGAAATTGGAATCAGGCAAAAAAATTCATGATCAGTGCACCCCTACAAAATAACCTACCAGTAAAGGCTTTGGAAAACAGTGCAAAACAATAAATAAATCTGTTAGTTTACTGCACAACCTGTCACTGCTTTACCTTTTGCTAGCTCATAGCACAGCAGTGTGCTGAACCTGGCTTGCTCTATTTGTTATGGTGATCTCAGCTTGATGTGGTTTTAGTGAAGAAATATGGCTGATTGAGCATCCTGCTTTAGACTCTAATAACAATAAAGCTGATCTTATTTGTCTGAAGGCAGACTAACCCATCCGGTAGATACCGTAATAACACTAAAACCTTATGAAAGTAGTCTTAGGGTCATATACATGTCAGTAAGCAGGCTAACAGCTAATTCTATGTCCCCAAAGAAGGTGGGACTTCCTGACACACATGTTGTATCTCGCCAAGTCACTCCGCTTTGATGGCTCGCTCACTTGTAATGGTGTGAATTAAGCAACGTACTTTACACTAAGTGCTAGTTTACAATGAGTGCTTGTCAGTGTCAGTAATTCAGTTGTATTTCAGGCCCGGTAGGCCTGCAGCTTCTTCTAAAATGGCCTCATTATCCCAGATAAATTTGTTTAAATATTCACAGTGAAAGACAGACAAGATGTAAACTTTAAACATGTTTTAGTAGCTTTAGCTTTTTGACAGTTCAATGAGCTGAATTTATTGGAATTCAAAAAAGGATTTGGTAATAAATTCAAAATATATAACATAACGGAGGCTGCCCCACATGAGCTAATGAGCCAAAGCTACAGCAAACCAGTACAACACTGGATGCTGATAGAGACTCATTGTCTTCTACAGGTATTTTTGACTCTTCACTCAATGATGTGCCAACATGTTAGTTTGTCTGAGCAATTTATTTGAACTGTTTCAGGACCCAGCATTAGCATCAGCCTAGCCTATCTGACAACAAAAGCCACACCACCTTTGCCTCAGTCATGTCCTTAACAACAGGTCCTCAGCAACGTGCTCACGTTAAGGCACTCGCGTTCTGGAATAGCAAAGTATGACATACTAACATACTCACTCACAATTATGAGCAAAATGTTCACATTATACTGAACTGACAAGACATAAAAATCAGTGTTTCACCTTTGTTGGTCTGTGTATTTTCTCCATCTTTCCACAAAGAAACGCAACAAATACCTGAACCTTTAGTAGTAGACATGGTAGACGTGGCTGCGTGTACTGTGTGCTCTAGAAAGACAGAGAGAATTACAAACAGAGAAAGACACAGAAAGACAGACAGAGAATGAGTCTGATATTGATGAGGCCAATGTCATCTTTCCCACACTGCTGGCAATCTCTCAGCACAAAGAACCGAGGCTGAGCTCAACCCACATTCCTATACGTTATGTGAGCTTGACAAAGCCAGAACCAGTGACCTGAATACACACATATTTGCTCCTCAAATACACCACCCTTTAAATAGGCTGGGAAGCTATAAACTGTACCGTGTACTATGACTAAACTCTAATTAGAGATTAGAGCACACCATCAGGCAAGAAGGCTGGTAAAGACAAATCCACCGCATTTGATTTTAACCGGCCTTTCCTCACAACTCATCAAGATAACACAGTACGGCACTGTTAGTAATTTGCCTCAGGAGAGCAAACTCAAGCATGAGCCCAGAAAAGAGACTCAAGCAATGACACTGAGCAAGTACAGAAAAGCATTTGTTTCCCTGAAGCTGCAGGCTTCACTTATCTCTGTCATTGAGGCTTTATCATGGAAGAAGAACAGCCATCCTCTCCCCTGCTTTGCATGCTCACCTCCAGCAACTGACGTAAGGAACAGTTTGGGTGGCAGTGGAGGAGCAGGAGACCACTGGGAGATCACAAGGCACATAGTTTGACATGTTTGGGTCATGCAATTCAGTGGGATTCTTCACCCGGAGGCCTGGCACATAACACATTAATCTCTCAGAGGAAAACCCTAGCCTGGAGGTCCATTAGAGGAATTGCGTTTCCTTAGACAAAATGTGGCACCGCTGGACACAATACTGTCTGCTGTTCCCTCACAATATATGGCAGTACTTCCTCAGCATCGTCTACGAACTGGATAGGATTACATCACCGACTTATGATGGATTTCCCTTGGGCTATGAAATTAGACTGAGGCTCTCGACAAGTAGGCTACAGTGAATGATGACCGATGACTAACAAGCAGCTTATTCGTATTCTGAGCTCAAGGCACAGTCCGGCAGTCGATGACCAGCTGGTAACTTGTTGAAATGTCATTCATTTCTCAATATCTCGGTAATGGAGGCTAAGGGGTGGAAGCTCTTTGCATTACATTGGTAATACTGAAGCATGGCATACAGCTTAATTTGGTCTCAGAAGAGCTGATATTAATAGTGGACCTAAGGTTACCAGCAGCCATACTTGAGCGCAAACCAAAACAGTTCTGATTCCTTCCGTTTTGTCAGGTTATTTGGCCATATGATTTCTATTTCCACCACTAGGTTACCTACTACAAGTCTCACAGCATGCATCAGGACCTGATGGGGAGTCAAAACGTTTAGCCTGTAACAAGAGCAAGACTAGAAAAAAACATTTTTAGATCTAAAACAGATCTAAATCCAAATTAAAATCCAAACCATGAAAACCACCGTTCAAATTCTGATTTACAGGGTTACAGAACAGTCCGTTAGCTAGGAAGCTCTAGCCTAGCAACAGTAGCAACCGTCAGTCCACACTGAGGTACTTTCAATATTGGACGACAGAATGACAGAAATAACATTTATGCTTGTTCTTGGATCTAATAAAGCAAATAAATGAAAACAGAGAGTCAAACGCAACATAACCAGAGTGAAAAAAACAAGATAAATAGAAGCATTTCGCATCACGGCTCTGACGCCAGTCCTCCCCTCACCCCACCCATAACGGGGAAGGATGCTATCAGTGAGGCAGCGAGCCACCGCCGAATGGATGGTGCAAGCGAGAGCCTCCATGTTAGCTACAGTCACAAACCCGAGAAACGCTTACAGAAATAACTTCGCTGTTACGTCGAATTAAACACTGAGCTACAGCAACGAGCGGTCGAGGAGCCGCCGCTGCTGTTCCTCTCAGTGATAAAATGACGGCGCATCGGGCTCAGCGTTACACCGCTAGCAGGTTCAGTCCCCTCCCGTCGAGTCGAGCTACCTCCATCATCTCATCCTGTCCAAACGCTTAAACGAGAGCATACCTGCAAATCTCATGTCCGCACGAAAATGAACGGACAAGCCAGCGCAGCACGGCGTACGAACAAGCCGGGGAAGGGTGCCTCTTCCCTCGGTATCCTGCGACTGATGCTCTCAGCACAGTCCCGTCCTCTCCGCTAATCCACCCCACACAAAGAGCAGAAAATGGCTGCAAGTGCATTTCCTTAAAGCGACCACGACCCATTCGAAGGCTCTCGCTTGCTCCTCGCCCCCGTTTACCTCTGTGTGAGTCATCGAGTTTTCTTTCTTGTGGTCGTTCGAGTGTCAAATACTGGCCTTCATCAGCAAAACCTGTGGAAATATCGTTAAGTCGTGTTCAGACAAAGACAGACAGCCATGATGAGCTACATCGGTAATTCCACCATTGTCGTGCTGTTTGTGTCACACTGATGTACATTTACAAATATTTACGAAAAGTAAATGTAAAACACATTTAAACTAAGCAAAAGTGTCCTTCTCAATAATTATATGTGAAGGCAAATAATCATTATTTTGTGTGAAGTTAAATATAGATAGCTAAATAAGTTAACTGGTCTATAGCAAACAGTATTTATGCTTGTTCCAGCCCACTGTAACCGCACTTTACCCTGAAAGATAATCCTTAAAATACTTAAGAATCGGTTTATTTTTGCATTAATGTGTAAGTTATGGAAGCCCATTTCCGCCACTTGAAAGAAAGAAAAGACCATACAGTATGACATAATAATGACTCAGTGTCTCATAATAATGAGAATATTTTCTCATAATTATGAGATGTTAAGTCATAATTGTGTAAAAGTAGGCCTAAGTCGTTATTACGACATAGTAAGTTGCAATTATGAGATAGCAAGTCATAATTATGATATAATAAGTCCTAATTGTGGGAAACTTTCTCATTATGACAACTTAATAAATGGCTATTTTTTTACAGTGGCAGAAACAGGCTTCCATAGTAAATCCATTTAACGTGTCATGCTTGATACTTTTTCATGAGTCATTCATTATAGTTAAGAAAATATACATTTCGGCTCTGGCCATTTAAGGGGTTAAATAAAGTGATTCAGAGTGTTGAGTGGCGTGTCAGAATTGTCGACAGTGGTGCTGCTAGGAACCAGACATCTGAAGCATTTAATACCTTTAAAACCTCCCTCACATAAAGTCATTACATGGAATGGGTACGAATACCCTGCCTGATGTCTGAGACATTGTTTTATGATAGTTCTGCGATAAAGCTTCATGTAAAAGGTATTTTTGAAACCCGCTCATAGTGGACAGGCACATACACAGTGTTTAAGGCAAAAATAGTACCCAAAGAAATCTTTTTTTCTCTGTTTTACCACTGTTTTGCCTTCATCAGCACTGCAAACACAGAAGACACATTTAGATTCACTGATTGTTTAGGGTAGTAAATAAATGTATTGTATTCAAATTGTAGACATTGTGCCCTGGTTCCTATCAGCAACATTGCAAATAATTTTGAGTTGGTAACAATGTACCATTTCACACCAGAGCACTCTGAATGACATTGTTTATACCATAATGATTGAATAATGTAGAAATTTTGAAAAAAAAGATAGAAATCCAGTTAAAAGCACATGGGTTACAGTATCAGTGAAATAATTACATTGTGAAAGATTTAGATGTGATTATTTTGGTCTTAGCCAGCCTTGTTGCATTATTGGCAACTGGTTCCACCAAGCAGTGAAAAAGTTTGGACAATATTGAAAGTTAAAAAGGAAAAACTGTCAATTTGAATCTTTCATGCAAGTTTATAAGTCCACAATAGAGTGGATAACCCACAGGAAACACATTAAATAAAATATGAGGTGAGTTCTAGCATATTTAGTGCTCTGGGCTGTTTGATGCACAGTGAGCATTGGCAGGCTGTGTGTGTGTGTGTGTGTGTGTGTGTTCGGCCTGTGCTGTTGTCACAGTAACCAAAGGAGGCATGTGAGGAGTTTTTTCTCCATCACTGCTTTTCATCTCCAGTCTGTAGGGAGAGCATGTCCATTTCCCTGGACATCATGCTCTCTAAAATGCCCCAGTACCATTTATGTGTATATAATCATACAATGGCCGCAAAAGGTATTTACGCATTACTGACATTCTTAAAAATGTCTTAAGTTCATTTTGGTAGGAAACTAAAAGTCAAACCAAGTGGCTTTTATTTTAAACAGACCATTCCAAGACTGTCAATTCCTTCTTGTCAAAGTGACTGATGTATTTCAGTTTCTTTGACTTCTGCAGGTTTGCATCCAATATGTACGCTTCTGAGTTGGAGCGATATGGCATAAATATTATATCACAATACTTCAAAAAACTGTCACTATGTTTATTTTTTCTGATAAGTTGGAACAGATAAAAATAACCAGTGGTGTCTATGAATACAGTGATCTGTATTCAACAATCCAGTTAAACAGACCTAAGAATGCTCTCTTTGTAATCAAACATGCAGTTGGTCCGTGTCCTAGAAGTACTGATGACATCCACAGGGTACTCAGCAAAGCATATTGTGACATAAAGTGGTGTAAAATTATCACGAAAACAATATGTTGTCACATTGATCAGCCCAATTCTATGTTCATGGTCCCTTCCATGAACACAAGCTTACCGACACCATTGTAAGAAAAGCAGACTCAGACTTTGACGTTTCCACCTCTTACAGTATTATAAGTGCTGTCTGGTTGGGATTCTCCTCCGGGCCTTCTCCACACAAAGAGCCTAGCATCAGTTTGATGTGTTTTTCTCTGGAGCAAATATTGTTTTCATTGCATTCAGAGTGGTTTAATGAGAAATGGTTCACTGTAGAGGAACCTGCCAACTCAGATTTCTTCACAGTGGTGGTGATAGGAACCAGATTTTGCAACATCTACCACACAAAGATAGCCATTCTATTTATTATCCAAAACTACCAGAGAACCTACACATGTCTTTTGAGTTTTTATATGTAATGATGAGAATGGTTAGATAGTGAAAAATCTGCTAAAAATAAGATTTCTTTGGGGACTGTTTTGCCTCACAACACCCTGCATGTATACCTCCTTCATGAATTTTGAAAAATTATATTAAATAAGAACGTTTCAGTCCAAAATCTATCGTAAAACAATGTCTCAGGCATCCAGCAATGTGTTCATAAACATTTCATGTAATAACTTTATGTAAGGAAACTTTGAGACAAATTAAACACTTCAGACATCAGGTTCCTATCACCACCACTGTCAACAATTCTGATTCAGTACGTTTATGCAGAAATTTAGAAAATTGGTGGAATTCCCCTTTAAGGGCCTGTATATGGACCCACACTTTAGTTTCTTATTTTCATTCTTAACTATATTATGTACATGTTTTATAGCTAATAAGTCATAGTTGTTCATTGTTTTAATCATATTATGATGTTTTCAGATTAAGAACAATAGTAAGTCTAGAGGGGGTGAAACATTTTATGAAATAAACTAAAGAACTTGTTTTCCAAGGGTTAAAGAGTCCAAATGCTTTTTGGGTTCCTTAAACCCATGCATGCATTTCAGAGAGGTATCTAGTTTGTGGTGTTCAATTTATTTTATTTTACTTTTATTGAAACTGCATTTCATACATAAACACAGAAAGCCAGTTAAACAGAATCTGATGATAAGATGCAAAGTGTTACACTGTACATGGTGGATTTCTCAGAGACATGCATATGAGAGTAATGTACTATTTCAGGTGCTGAAGCTCTAACTCTGGTATTAAACGGCTTGTGTATGCCCCCTAAAGGAGAAGAGGAGATGTTTTTATTGCAGTTACAAAAGAATCATTCATGCAGGTTTTTTTCTCAGATAATGGGTGCACCTTGTAGAAATAAAATGCGTAGTAAATAAATAAAATGTACAAATAAATAAACTGGTAGAAACTGTACAGTAATGTGTGAATGCTGAGATAATCCAGGGATCAGCAGTCTGCCAGAGAGGCCAGTTCATGCAGGAGCAGGGCAAAGGAGGGTCTGTCTTCAGTTTTCTATTAGAGAAAATCATATTTAAAGCATGCATAGACTTGTTTTGTTTGTCATTTGTTAACAAAACAAACAGGTTTTACAATAGATTAGTCTCATACATATTCATTTTGTGCAATATTGATTACATTGCTGGTGGAACAAAACCTTCTTTCTCTATTTTTTTATGTTTTTACATAGTTTGAAAATTCCAAAGACCCTGTAAAATGTGTCCAGATTTCATGAGGAATGAAATGGTCCAGAATTGCTCTGAATTGAATTCATTTACATCAAAGTCTCCTGTAAAATTACCCTTTTAGAGATAAAATGAGATAATGAGATCATTTTTAGAGATCATGTCCGACGGCAACATTATGTTATTCTGTAAGATCTGAATAATTCACACCTTTTAGCTGTTTGTAAAGATTATGGAATCATCTGTGGTGGTGCAGCACAATGATGCCATTGAACTTCCCTCACTCACCTCTTTCCAACACCACTGCATCAGCTGGTAGACAGTTTCTGGACAGAGGCGAGGCTGTAGCAATCTTTGTCCAGCGTTCAGAGAATCCACCACCTCCATATTACTGCGACACTCGTACGGCATTCGGCCCTCACTGTACACCTCCCACATCAGCACACCTGAGCCAGGAAAGAGAGTGTAAGTGCCACAGAAAGGTTTCTGCTGTGTATTTTTGTTTTTCTTACACAGCACTACTAATGAGTATGGGTGTGAAACTGCACTGATATGATATAATAAATTTATCTTAAGTTGGCAGTTTAACTGCATTGACTTTGTAATGTTATAACTGATTACAGTCGATTATGATAACATTCAATGCACTTATTCTCAGCCAAAATAAAATTCAGACCATTTTAATAATATCTCATTGCAGTATCTTTATTTATAGAGCACTTTTCATACCAGTGGCAGCTCAAAGTGCTTTACACACAGATGATAAATCTTAAAAGTAATAGAAGAAAATGTGAGTATTCATTTAAAGTAAAAGAAGACCTTTGCATTGCTTGGATTTCATGATGATTGGACTAGTAGAAATTTACATTAAAAGTAAAGAATGTTTTTGCCCACTCCTGTAAAGTTGTCATTTTGGAGATACTTGTTTTTCTTAGGACAGCAATGATATCCAGTCACATTTGTGTTTTCATTCTATTTTTAAACATCTGAATCGAGTAATCAAATCAATTCATGG